TAAAGTTTATAAAAATTTTGATCTAACAGGGGGTATATATATAAACGCAGGCAATAAATAAGTTTTTATCATTTGTAACAATATCCTTTTCAATATTCAACCATATAATTGTGTCATGAATACATTTTTCAATTGAAATTTTATTAGAAAAACTCTTTTATTAAAATTACAATACCTCCGCCTTGAGTAGATTTAGACTTTCGTCTAGCATACAAAAACATTCATAACCAGGAATAGTAATATTAAAATCATTTGTTAACCAACATTCTGTAAGAAAAACTATATCATATGTGCAAATAAAATTCAAAAATGCAATGTCATCAAGTTTATTTTGAATACCACCATTCACATTCCAAGAAATGACTTTTAAGTTGTCACAGTTTGTAGAATTAGGCACAGAGACTTCAACGCTATCCTAGTCTTCTTTGGTAGTAACCTGCTTCTCGTCAGTTTGATGAGTTGTCTTGTCAGTACAGAGATCTACATCGATCTTCTCATACGGTATTTGAGTTTCTATTTTCGGTATGTATTGCTTGTGCTTAATCTGATCGAAAAGCTCGTTATTTATATACAGTTTGTCTCTGATCATCACTGCTTTAGCTTTTTGAGTACGAGCTTCTCTTTGAATTGGGAGCAATTGTTTCCTTTTAGCGAGCACATCTGGCGTATACTGTACACTGAGACCGAACGGAGAGCCCTTCAATTTGTAAGCGGACGACTCCACTACCTCACGCTGTTTAAAATTGTCAAAAGTTGCAATTATCGGCCTTGGCTTGTATTTGCTTTCATACGACGAACGCTGCGGAAATTGACATTTCTTTTAACCCCCAATTCATCGCGAACGAAACCACTCAACAGATTTTGGACATCCTCACCTGGCATATCCACAATACCGTAGAATATTAAATTGTTTTTTGTAGCTTCATATTGCAAATCAGACACGGTTGATTTTAACTCGTTGTTTTGTTTATGTATTTCAGCTATTTCTTTCTTTAATTTCGACCCCTTTCTTGGACTGCTAGAACCCCCAGATACCTGCGCAATCCACAAATTATCCTTTTCTGCATTTAATTCGTCAAGTTTGATATTAAAATTGTCACACGTATTATTAAATCAGAAACTTGAGAAGTGAGTTTTTTAACTTCAAATTCGGTTGTTTTTACCCTGGGGAATAAACTATCAACTGCCTCACAAAGTCCGTCAAATTTTTCCAATTTTGTATCCATGCTTTCAAGTTTGCTCAATCTAGAATCAATAGAACTGATGCTGTGCATTATATGACTGAGAATACTACTTTCCGCAACGGGCGAAGTGTATTGTCTAAATTGTGTCGGTAGGGATCCAGGAAAAGGGGGAGGGTACGGATACGGATATGGTGTGCTGCTTTGCTGTTTTTGGTTTTGCTTAATATTTTCAGGTGTCATCTGAGCTGACATATTTTCTTGTTCACTATAAACGACTGAAGTACTAGCATTTTGTTGTTTATTTTGTTTTTTATTGGATTTCTTGTGTGGCTGTTTTGAATTTGAATCGAACGAAGAATCAGTATTCGGTGACGAATCTATAAGCTTGCTTACCCAACCCCCTTTCTCCCCCCAAAACAACTTGAATACGTGGGGAGGTAATGACCAAAAGGAAAATAAAGAATATCGCCAAATCCATCTTGGATCAACTTTGCCCAAGGGAGTTTGAAACTTAGTTTTAAAAAAATCTAAATTTTATCAACTGCTATTTAAGAAAGGTGTAAACCTTAAAAGGTATAGCAATGATGTATAGCTACTTGAATACTTGAGAGCTGATGCCCAAAAGGGAACAAAAGGGAACATAATAAAGGATAGCAAAATCCATCTAAGGTCAACTTTGCTTTAGGTCGGCATGAAATTCACTCTTTGTATGGTTTCCTCATATCATACTACTAGTATCGCCATGTTACAATAAGAAAAGTTTTACACGATTGTATTTCAACAATGAGAAGATTACGTTTAATTAGTACAAGATAACAAACTGCGAGAATTAAGCAAGGATTCTCAACTAGAAAAGTCCAGCAACACCTTATTGTGACGATTAGCAAATTTAAATTCCACAAACCACCTATGATACCCCTTATTTCTATTCAAGCTACCGTCATAAAAGATGTTTTAAAAGATGTCAAGAAGTACATATGATAATTTAAACTGCTTTATTCTATTTTCGGTTTCCTGAGAAGAACGCCAATCAACAAGAATACCTAAAGAGAATACTTCCTTTGAAACTAGTGGTCAGCCAACGATTATGAATTACGGACAATTTTGTATCATTAATTCTATATGGAGGAAAAATTATATCTTTCGAGTAATAAAAAGCAATAGTGCTGCAACTTAATAAAGGACGTTTATATTAATTTAATATACTAGTCAAGTGGATGCATTTTCTCTTTGCTTCATCTGCAGCTCAATCAGCCACAATTCCTTTTGATAATGATTTATGAATATGCGTCTGACAATTGTTTAGAGAATTCATATAACAAATACTTATCCCATCGAAAAACACCAATTAGATGATATTACATCATCGAGCGTGAAAGATTTGCTTTCATTTTGTCATGACTATTGAAAATAAATGACTACAAATATACAATCCCGTTGTAGTAATGGTTAAGCTGGACGGAAGTGTCAGGTTAATATCCTCGTTTATCCACCTGCCATAAGATGTCTGCAGTAAGTTAGGGTAATATTTATCAGTAGATTACACTGAACAAATATAGTGTTGTGTACAGTATGGCTACTTGTAACTACTACTGTTGGATTGCATACAGTGTACTGTGGGTGAATGTCCGATGACCTTACCTGTGTTGGAAAGGGACCAGCATTTCAATGTCTAAACTAACTCGAATGTTAAAGGGCGTGATCTGGCCGTAGACTCTTTCGTGGCCTAGGCCGTTTATTGCCCCTTCGAAGTTTGTCCACACGGATAAAAGTCAAAGAAAATGACATGCACTTTCTTAAAAGGTAAACTTGTATGCTTCTTAAAAATATACACAAGTCGAATAGGTTTTCATCGAAAATACTATTTATAGTTTGTGCAGTATAAAAATTACAATTTTAGCATCTTTTCACAATTGTCTGTTATTTCTGTTAATGTAATCAACGCATGACCGATGCATACTATTAGTTACATAGTGTGCTAGTGACCTAATACGATACATATGGGGTCAGTAAATTCCGAAAGTGTTACAGCATCTGGTAATTTGAGATAATGAAACTTTTCCTATTTTATCAAAACTTATTGCTCTTTTTAGAACAAGAGAAAAGATAAAATATTTATTTATTACTTCTATGCAAATCAGATGTAATCCTCTCATATATCATCGGGGGCAACGCCCCTCAGATATGAGAAGCTTACATCTAAAACTTACAGAAAACTAGAAAAAAATCCATATTTCACTAATTGCTTAGTTATAAGTGTTATTTCTTTATCAAGCTACTTCTGTTTACACACTGACAGATGAATTACAGAGGTCCGATATCTTTTTTGTTCTCAAGACTAATCAGAGTTATCTATCTTTTTACGCTTGACGGTAGACAACACATAATTTATAAATTTCAGCAAATACCTATTTTTTTTCAAATTAAAAATAAACACAAAAAGAGTATTGCAAAGCCTCACTGAATAATTTTTGTAGCTTAGATCCATAAAATAGTTTATTGGATTTGGAATTGAGAAAACATTTGTTACAGGGAATCTGGTTTTAACAGAAACAAATACATGATAGATGCAGAACTCTACTAGATAGTTGGGTGAAACAAGTTTTGGTGAATTTCAGTTGCAAAACAGGAGAATCAAATTTAAAGATAATCTCTAAAGGTTTCTCACTGTCACTGAAGAGACAAACACGGGATGAAAAAATGTTGATTTTAGTTTTACTGTATATATTCTTTTCTGTGGTTTGTTCGGAATGAAAAAAAAAGTCAAAAGGTAACAAAGAGACAATCCAAATTCATAGGTCCAAAAGAAACCGACAACACCATTGCAAAACCGAAATACGACGAGAAGACATACACCAATTCTCAAAACACTACATAGAAAAACAAAAGACTCAGCAACACGAAGCCAACCAAATGGCAGAGGTGATCTCATGTGCTACAGAAGGGTAAACAGATTCTGCTCCACATTTGCCATCCGTCATGTTTCTCATCGTTAGTACACATTTGGTGATAAGTCTCATTCGGTGATGTCACAATCGTGTAAAATTTAGAAGACAGGATTGTGGCTACAATTGAAACATATCCGTGGTCATCTGTGATACAGATACCCCATAACGGCCAACCAACATATAGCGTCCGTAAAACTTTCAAATAGATGATCTCAACTTTAACGCATAGAACACATGGTTCAATAGTTTTTTTTGTAAGCAGCAACCCTTTATCAATGGAGTCATTGTAGGAAAAGCAAGCTATCGAATATCGCATCAATTGAGAGATAAATAATCCATGTGCAGGCTTGTTAGAATTTTTGTCACTTAGAAATTGAAAATTAATAATTGAGAGCTGACCTACCCTCATTATCAATTTCTAGAGTCAAGAGAAGTGGATTGCAGGTATAACAATCTAATGACAATCTCCAAGTATGACTCCGACTAAAATCTTATTTTCGAAAATCTGAAACCATAATATTATACAGCATAGGCATTTGTCTGATTTATTTTTACCTATATACCATTATATAACCTGAGGATACCTCCGTTTTTATTTGAGTTCGTGTTGTATAATTTTTAGTGACTGTTGTTTGTTGGTTCTTGGAATTCGTCATTGCATATTCTCATTTGTAATAACAGAATCTTGATATTTAATTATTTCTTTTTAATTACGAATATAACTAATTTCGAGGTCTCTTAAAACTTCACTTTGCATGTACACAGTCAGGAATCTTAAGAGTGGGACTTGTAGATATGTGTTTTTAAGTATCGTTTATAATAGAATAGCTTGATCATTACTCATATTAAAGAATACAATATGTTCAAGTCGGGAATAGTAACTAACACTAAATACCGTGCATTGCTTCATGAATGTTTATATCTTACAGCAAATAACGGATGCCATCAAAGTTTATGTACTATCTTTGATTAAACTTTTAAAGGAAGGATTGTTTTATCTCTGAAAGAGCCTGATTCTACCTTTAAACAGAAAACACAAAGCCTCACAAAATATCGACCATAAAATTTTAATGAGCAATTACAGGAACAATAGGAAGTTCTGGAAATTGGAAATTACCACAAATATTGTTGGCAGAGATTTACCATGCTGGCAACGGTTCATGTTTAGGGAAACACATAAGATATCTGGAATTCTAAATTAAATAAAGATATGAAGTATTTACATAGCTGTCCGTTTAAAGAATCTTGTTCATTTCATTTGAGAACCGACAGGTGTTTACAAAGATAAACAATATCTTCCACATCTCGATTGTTTACACATGTTCTTCACGTAAAATATTAAACAAAATGGAATCCAGCGTTGATGTCGTGGACAGGTAAGTTATTTTGTTTGTATGATAATTATGACTAACAAATGGTCGAAGATGATGTAATCCAAGGAAAAAATGCTATGAATTGCTTTACTAATTAAAAAAAAACTTTGTTATAATCTTATTGTATGCAAATTATGTAAAGGTGACTGATGGATTATCTGTTATATCGATATTACCCCCAACCCTTTTAATATTTCTTTACACCCTATAATGTAAAGCACAGTTTCATTGGTGAGTATATGGAAAAATTACGGAGACAAAATATCACCTCACATTCAAAAGTCAACACCAAAAATCATTTTGAGATGTAGAAAAACTTTAGTGGCGATATATTTTAGAATGATCATCAGAGGTTGTCGTCTGTCATATTTGTTTTTGGTTAATTATTTTGTTATAAATTTGGCCGTTAGTTTTCTCAGTTGAATTGTTCCATATTTTTTTCATGTCGGGGTCTTTTATAGCCGACTATACGGTATGGGATTTTCTCATTCTTGAGGGCCGAACGGTTGCCTATAAATGTTTACATCCACTTTATTTGAACTTTGTCCTCTTCTCCTTATTTCTTTATATATGGAAAAATTGCGTAGACGAAATATAACATCAAAAGTCAACACCTAAAATCACGACATATTTGAAGATCTACGCCAATAGACAGTTTGCAGTTTAATTGATAAAAACGATATTTACCTTAATAAACAAAATTCACTATGACAATGATCACTGTTTAAAAATTATTATTGTGCGTTTAAGAACAAACACTTAGAACGAAATGCCATATTCGCGTATTACATATTAAAATGAATATTAAACATGTTTAAATATGTCTTATTCGCACAGTTTGCAGGGTAAACTCTTTTGAAAATTTCTGAGGGTAAAATAATATCTGCTACATATTATAAAGCTAGTTTAGAATTTTTTATCGAAATGTTGACATAATCTACTATTTCTTGCTGAAAGCATGTGTTTTTGCTATATTGCGTCATTATCTTGTTTTCTTAATTTTCTAAATGTAATAAAAGATGTATTATAAGAAAACAGAAAATGTGCCAAAACTTAATTCAAGGGAACAAACATATGCTGTCTAAGGCAAATGTTATTTCAAAGTTACATATTCCCACAACTGTATGATTAGAGATTTCGATTGATAGATGGATAGGTGTTTAACGTCCAGTGGCAACTACGTCATGCCAATGTTATTATGTACACGAAAATTGCTTTGTATCTGACCGATACCACGGGTCGGATGTTTTACCTTGCTAGTTCACATGATTAACATCTGCAGGAAGACATGTTCCTACCCGGATGAATTATTCTGACTCCGAAAAGATAAGTCTTTCCTCTTATTTCTAAATTTGGTGCAACTCAAAACCATAAGTCGAAGAAAAATAGACAACACTACCCCCCAAAACGATGAAAAACTAGACAACACTATGCCCCAAAACGATAAAAAAAAATAGACAACACTATGCCCCAAAACGATGAAAAAACAAACAGCAGTTCAAAAAAATACACGACAAAGAAAACTGATGATTGAGCAATAAAAACGGTCAACTCAGGTACTCCAGATCCATTTCATTTGACACTCGCCGTGTTACTCTTGTAAAATGTAAAACATAACATACTTAAGTAAGTAAGTAATGACTTTATTTAAAGAGAGTGACTCAATTAGCATTCACTAATCTACCTTGAGGCCCTCACTAAGAACAAACAGTACAAAGCTTACAATTTTGAACATATTATGTAGATGCAATATTCACGCTAACTATACATTGTCGTCTGTAGAACAAGAGAAAATTAAATTCATATATATATATACATAAAATACAAAATCATTAGAATATATGAGTGAGTTGTTATAAATCATTTACAGTCAAGAAATCTACACATCGTTGTTTAAAAGTGTCCAGGATTTCACAACATTTTATTTCATTTGGTAGTTTATTCCAAAATATTGAGGAGCTATATGTGAAAGATTACTTCATTGAATTTGTGTTCGGTCGCACAACAGCTAAATTATCATTTGCAGATAACCTTAGATTTCTACTATGTAGGTTAACAATTGGACAACAGAGATCACACGACAAAGAAAACTGATGATTGAGCAATAAAAACGGTCAACTCAGGTACTCCAGATCCATTTCATTTGACACTCGCCGTGTTACTCTTGTAAAATGTAAAACATAACATACTTAATTAAGTAATCAGGTGCTTTATCGTTGAGAATTTTATGAACAAGAATAAGTTTATGATATGAAATTTTAGATTTGAAATTTAACCATAGCTCTTTGAATAAATTTTTACTAGGCATCAAGTAAAAACTTGCCTGACTCGTGTACTAATCTTGATGCAAACTTTCTCAGTCAAGTACAGCTCAAGTACAGCTCACAGCTTAGTAAATATGAAGCTAAATAGTACATTGCTTTGAAATGTATGCACTTTGACTCAATTTGTTTTTACTAATATTAATTAAATTTAATGGCGTCAGCTGTTGGTTTTATTGTCACATATTGCAAGATTTTCGCGATAAATAAATAATAAATAATAAAATTTGGTACGCTATTTTTTCTTTTTTTTAATTCAGGTTGAATGTTTTCGTGTTTGGTGGAACATTTTCTGAAAGACAAGATTTAATCCGAGTAACCTTAAGTGAATACGATAAAGGTCATATAAGTACATCCTCCAACTCAAAGGACAAAAATGATACAACTGTGTTTGTTGATGAGGAGGTTGAAATTTATACATTACCTGGTAAGGATATTATCTATTAGAAAACCATTATCATTTTACTTTATATCAAACTTGGCGGAGAAGGTCATTTCAAAGTAGTATTCCAATTTCCTCTTTTGATTACAAACCTTACCTTATTATATTCAAAGGTCAAAATTCTCTCTTAATATAAAAATAACAAGATGTGGTATGATTGCCAATGAGACAACTTAACAATGAAATAAATATTTTATCTCTTAGTAATGACTACTTGCCTTAATCGCACATGAAATAATCAGATCTATTTTTTAACAGCTTCGCTGCGGTACATACTATTGCAGTTCGCATATATAAGATAAGATTTAGAAGACAACAGCATGAGAATGGAGGCGGGAGTGCTTCAATGAGATAACAACTAATATTGTTAGGAAAGATATCTTTCCACCATAAAATAGAGTTATAATAGTCACTGCACGTGCCCCAACAATGACTGAATACCATTCATTAGCAGGAGCTCTAAATTATTTGGAAATTTTGGACAAAGAAATAAAAAAAAGGCGTGGTTTTCATTTCATTATACGTTTAAACAAATGATTGTCCCAATCGTGTACATAAGAAATGGTGTTTGTATGAAATCGAGAGAAAAAAATGCTGATATTTGACTTTTTAACAAATTATAAAAAATATGAAAATGGGACAACCAAAATCTTAAGTGGAAGAAGGTTTTACAAAGCAAAGACTGAAAAGATAGTCTTCATCAATCAGTTACACATTGAAATATTCATTAGGCTCATGAATATATATTTAATTATATGACATACTTACTTATAGAGATTTTTATTTCAGTTAGCAAAATAGCAAGTTGTGAAATCTGGAATTTTTCTGACAAAAAGGTATGCTTTTTAACTGGCATGTATGATTTATGTGTGAACTTTAATTTCTTTTCGTCTTAAATTTAATGGAAACATTTTTTCATTATGTGTTAATCATTTAGTAAAAAAAATATATACATTACCAAACCGTACATAACTCCTTCAGACATTGGTTACCTAAGCCCATTTTTGTTGTCAATCTTTTAACGTCTTTTTTTTTTTTTTTGCTCCTTGTGCTTAGCATTCAATCGGCTTTTTTCGTTGTTGTTGGTCTCGACAGTATTTGAAAAATAACCAGCAAAACAAAAGCTTTCAATGCCGCAAGCAAAATATTTTTGATCATTGCTCAACTGTTTGTGTTTTCTTGAAGATGCATGATGTAATGAATTTTCTGCTGTATCAAGCAAACTATAGTAAATTTATTAACGAATCAGGATTGTTTTACTTCCTCAATAAGAGCCTCATCGTTATATGCGCATAAAGTAAAGAGACGACACTGAAAACTGAAACTTTTGTTGTAATATATTTTCTTAAAGAATTAAAAGGTAGGTGATGCGGAAATATAGGCACATCCAACTTAGAATCCGGCATATATTGCCTCGCCACGTACGAGTTCGGCACAAGAATGGGTAGATATGTGTGCCGTCATTTCGGAAACACGCACTGTAGAATGCCCATTTGGAATAAAAATCTGACTGGAAAGTTTCAATTACAGCAACTTTACTTTTTTGCATGGTCTTGAATAGCGAACTCATTTTGAAATGCAAACAACTTACGATGATATGAAAGGAAAACTCACAATAAGAATACTGACTGTACCACATTTCTTAATTTCTTTTTGTTTTACCGTCTTTCATGCATTGCAGGACACGCTTACCCTCTCGACGGTCTCGTTCCTTTTGGGGGTCATGTAATTCCCTGAGGTTTTGTTTGTTACCTTGATTTTTCTTCAAAATTGATTTATGATATTTGAATATGGGTAAACACAGTAGTTGTTGAATAAATAGGTTGTAGCTAGGTTATCGTAACTCTAATAGATCGCTTTAACTATCAATGAATCTAAAGCTGAAATTTTTATTAAAAAGCATTTTCCTTGTGACAATTTTCTGAAATATTAACAGTGGCGCTATCCCTCACCCACAAATATTGTTGCTTAAATATTTTATATATACCATATACTTTTCAACCAAAATTTCGATGGGTCAGAAGTGTCGCCATATATGAGAAAATAAAATAAGGTAGAAAATGATGAAGAATTTCTAGAAAAATAGACTTAAATGAAATCACTTTCTATTTCAATCTGATACTTGTACAATTTATGAAGCCGATATACAATTTTTCTTATTATACTTTGAAAAATGATACATTTTGTAATACATACACAGTAGATTTACTCAAACAATTGAAGTTTGAAAAATGCACCCTTACAGGGCCGTTTATTGGGGTTACTGGCTTTACTCTTTTATCAGCAGTGATTACGTAGGTTTGACAGGTTCGAATTCTGGCAAAACGTATTTCTAAAGAGTACTTTCTATTTTCATTTTATTTTTGTATTTTGTAACTAGATGCAATACCAGCTAACATAAATGAATAGAGCCAAACAGCTGTGATGGAAATTAATTAATTGATAAAACACTTTCTTTATAAACATGACGTATTATCACATTTAAAATCTTTGAAAAAGGAATATATTATGTTTTTTTCAATGATAAATGTTTTACAGCTAAGCCAAGGAATATCTCAACTATTTATAAACAAGTGTGCCATTGTTATCATCATCGTTGATAATGCAGACTTTAAAGCAACGGAAAAGATTGCCAGACTATGGAGAAATTTTGCTTTCAAGGTATATTTTGACATGTGATGATCCGAGAACGATAACAAAATGTTTAGGATTGATAATATACACTGTTATCACTATCATATTAGTTATTTTTTTAAGTTGAAATACATGCAAGAATGTTAGCAGCAAGGCAATAACTACATTCGTATTCAAAAGTATATCATATGGACGAAAGGGGCGAAGAGTATACGACAGTGAGACTGTAACTCAACAAAACAATAAAACCTCAAAACAAATATACATATCCACAATGTCAAACAGCTCTATGTACGAAATAATTAGTTGTCTTATGGGGAGCCATAAGACAACTATCTACCAAAGTGTAAATGAAGAGGGTATACGCAGTTATAGGCCACCATGCGGTCTTCGACAATGTGAAAAAAAAACCCATACCGTATTGTCGACTATAAAATGTCACGACATGAAAAATGTGATACAATACTAATGAGAAAACCAATTGTATAATTTATAACAAAACAATTTACGAAAAACAAATATGACAGAAAATGAACCAACGACAACCACTATACCATATTTCAAATTCTTAATCACCCTGAGGCTAGACAAATTGTAAACTAAGCAAACGTTTCAAAGTCAATAGTCCACGACTGAGGGGGCGTGGTCAAATTATCTCAAATTGAAATGAGATGATCCAATGCTAATACAACTGCAAACCAAATATCATTGACCTACCACTAGTGGTTCCTCATAAACTGACCTAATCACAAACTAATACATTGGTGATGACGACGCCGTCGGAAACAGCATGCCTATGTCTCGTTTTTGACTCCGTCAAGGCGAGACAAAAAAAGTATTGCACCAAAAAATGCTTGCAGATGCCGAAAGCTTATACGCTGATATAGAAATTCGTCTAGTCTAATGCAGACGGCTGCACTTTCTAGTGAATTTCACACAGCAACGCAAGTGCCAATAGACACATGCAACGCCTGAGATGACCTTGTTTGATGAATTTTACTACAGATAAAAAAGGAAAAATAAAAAAGGAAACATTTTAGTCGCGTGACTGTGTGAAATGATTTTAGTACCAAAAAATACAGAAGATAAGTATAATGGTTACCTTTAAAACACAAGAAAAAAAACCAAAAGATTATGTTAAATGACGCGTTTTAACCTTTTTTACTTCCTTAGTTAAATAACCATAAAATGTTCAAACGTTGCTTGCATGCATGTATTATCTATAGTCATTGAAGTTCAATCGTAGTTTTTAAATTATTCTTTTGACCGAGTGTGGATTCGTATGGCGGGTGATGCATGTATAGCAGGATACGCTTACCCTGTCGACACACCCGTTCTTGCTCCTTTAGGAGTTCATGTGATTCCCTCAGTTTTTGGTTTGTTACCTTAATTTGTATTCTAAGTCGATTTATGAGATAAATATCGTTGTTTTAAGTTAATATAAGATAAGAAAATGTGGTATAATTACCAAGTTAATATTCTAGGAAATACCTTCATAAATCATAATAAATTTTTGACAGCAAAATAGATGGAAAAATAGTTAGAAAAGTTTTCTTGTTTATCCAGGGTATTCAACATGTTATTATAGCAAATATATCATCAATTGTAACGAGCGATGTCGTACAGCAGACAGTGCAGATCTTTGAAGCTCTTGATGAAAGTCTTAACACATTCAAGCAAAGTCAATCCCAGTAAGTAAAGTTGTAGTTAATTTAATTTTTTATAAACTTCACATTTAAATTTTTCCTTATAGACCAAAACGTTTGTCAAATCAAACGGTGAAAATGTTATCATACTTTAAAAATTTGTTTAGATTAAACAGAAAACGGGACAAACATTAATGAAAAAGTAAAAATACAATGAAAAGCTTCAATTTTGTAAACCATCGATGCAAGTAAATTCTCTTACCCAAAACGTTGACTGGGTGCGGAATTTAAAATGTTTCCCAAGTACAGAGAATAAACAAGACTATATATGATAGAAACATCACTGACACATTCAGAAATAAAACTTTCGTTCAACACAACGCAGAAAACTAAGTCAAAAACAACACGAACCTCCGCTGAAAGAAAAGTTACGTGAAAGCTTTCAAAATGTACTAGTTGCATGTGAGACAAATACCATTAATGCAATATCAAGTATATAAGTGGGAGAGAAAAATTTCTTCACCACTCAAGTGAAAGATCAAGGACGCACGCAATGCATAACATTGATTTGTGTTTTATACTTGATTTTAGAGTTAAAGAAACTCCAAGAAATTACCACAAATTACATACTGCTGAAGAAAAGGTAGGTAAATTAAACATGCTTTACTCTCCAAAATCGAAAAAGGTCGATGTTATACGAAATATAAGGGAATGTATTGTATTATATAAATCAATTCCACGTTATTATGATTGATTCAGTGAATTTTCATTTTCAATATGTCGTTGTCTCTTGACAACGCATTATAAACAGCAGATGAAAATTAACATTGACAGATTAAGGTAAAAATAATGAAAAACGGGAAACGAAAATTATCGTATTGTACCGGAAATGAGCACATTTTGCATTTGATCGCTATATTAGTAGTGCATTCGTGTTTTTTTTTAAAAGTTCTGTCAAATGAATACGAGTTTTCTTTAAGCAATTAACAAATTTCCCAGCAATTCGCGCTTTTTCTTGAATATACATGTAAAAAAATTTGTGTAAAATAAATACTCTCTAAGACGTACATCAAAACATTTGGTTTGATTTTCAACCTTCTAACAATGAGCCAAATTTGTATGTTTATTTTAATAATGAAAAAAGACATACACACAGTATTTTGGTTCCTGTGCAGTCTCTTGGTTCCGAAAAGTGAAATACAATGGAACAATGAAACTTTTAATATATTCATGAAAACAAACTAATTTACATCCTCGTCACTTGGTCTCTGTTGGCTAGTAGTCTCATTGGCAAATCAAACCAATCTTCTTATATTTTTTATATTTGTTGAACCTTCATATAAACATAGAAATCATGTGTATTGCTTACAGGACGCACTTCCCGCTCAAGATATATATAAATTTGTAAGATTACTAAAATAAAAAATGACCAGAGTAAGTATTACATTTTGATACTTGAAATTGACATAAAAACACTAATAGATAATTACTACCAAAGAAACTGATTTCAATCTTTTACAGGGGTTTCTGACAATATTAACAACTCTTTTAAAAGAAGAAAAAGACAAAGTGATTACAGAAATAGACGATCTTACAAGAATAAAAAATACTGTACTCAAACAAAGAAAGGATGTCGTGTTCAGTTCTATACATGAATATCAAAATATTGTGGCACTAGTGAACATTGGAAATACGTTGAACCATTTAACCGCAAAGGTAATTGTTCCAAAAGTTTGGTATTTTCGTAATGTAATTGAAATATACGATGTGCAATAATATAAATAGGAATAATTCTGGTAACACCAACCTAATAGTCCGCGCTGGTGTGGCGGTCATTTTCTGTATATTCAGCGTTCATGTAAAAATCTTTCAAAATACTTATAATAAAAGTTTTTTTCAGGCGTTGATGAACACAATATTTGGCACACATTTTTTTATGTTTAAGGTCGTTGAGGTTTTTAATGCTCTTCAACCTTGTAATTACTTCCTCCTTCCTGCTACTGAATTAAACTTATCATCGGGGTTGTACTTACTTCAGCAACACGACGGGTGTCACATGTGGAGCAGGATATGCTTACCCATTCTGGAGCACATGAGATCACCGCCGGTGTTTGGCGGGGGTTCGTATTGCTCAGTCTTTAGTTTTTTTTTCTTGTGTTTTGTATACTGCTGTTTTTCTTTAGGTCTGTTTTGTTTTTTGCCATGGCGTTGTCAGTTTATTTTCGACTTATGAGTTTGTATGTTCCTTTGGTATCTTTCGCTTCTCTTTTTAATCTATGTTTGATGCGAGCGCCACTGATGGGTCCTGTGTATACAAAAACACCGTCTGGCTTACTTTATTACTGTATAAAAATGTATCTTTGGTAACTTTTTTTCATTTAGGTCAATCAAAATGCTAGATGTTTGGAATGATATACAAGCTTTACAAAACTAGAAAAATTAGACATTTCTTTTCCAATCACATTTTGGTCTGTTTAGAGTTATTAACACTGATATATCATTTTAGGGAATAATACTCAGTCATGGATGTTACCATCACGGAGGTGAATTCATCTGCGTGAATCCGCAGCTGTTTCTTAAACTTGTCTATGCTATTCATGTTGACAGCTGTAACAAGACATTTCATATTGCACCAAACAGATTCTGGCATCAAGACAGACCAGACAGGGAATCTTTGGTCAAAGTTTTAGAAGACATTCCAATTAATGGATTACTTCGACAATGTCTATTACCACTACTATGGCAGGTAGTTTTTTACGATATCTTTCTTAAATTGTATTAGTACTACGTGTAACTTCGGGTATATTATTTATCACAATAACAAACTGTACGAAACGTCAATTATTATCGGCTTAATCTATCAATGTGCTTATAGTAGGCGGTAATGATTTTAAATTTTTTTATATTTTTTTTATTTAATAAGAATTTCTGTTCTTCATAAATACAATGAGAAAACATACCTTTTCAGCGGGTAGTTTTACACTTGTTATAAAATGAAAAGAAACAACACTTTATACATTGTATGCGTCCGAAGCTTTTGTAATAATGCGAAAGGTGTTGAATTCTATTTACAGGACTTGTTGTCTAATAAAGAACAAATTCTACTGGTATCTACTGAGATGGAAAGATTTGGCCTTCTGATGCCCTATAAAAAGATGTCCATGTTTAGTGATGTAATCAGTTTAATGGATTATCCCCAATTGTCATCAGTCGACCAAATGTCTCTCTTATTGATGGGGAAAATGAAAGACTTAAAACCGGTAACTTTTAGTAGATCGTATTATATGTTCTAACAATCAATAGGTATGGGAAAAAGTAATTTTCCGAGGGCACTATCCGCCCAGTAACCAAATCATATTTTGTGAAAATTGTCATTTTATAATGGCGGGTGATGCAATCATAGCAGTAGACGCTTACTCTGTCGACGTACACTGTCTCGCGCTTTTTGAAGTTCATGCGATTCCCTCAGTTTCTGTTTGTTGTTTTGATTTGTCTCTGTCTAATCGATTTACGAGATTTGAACATCGGTAAACTACTGTAACTTATATTTATCAATTACGAGTTGGTGGAGAACTAAGAATTGTGACAAAAGAGATTATTACAATTTTACTGTTGTGAACTCTCCATTTCTGTGCAGCAACGTTCCATCAGCGCCTGCATATGGATTATATCTCTTTCACTTGATACGATATTCAAGGGCTTGCGTTTACTATGATGATTCCTTCATATAGGGTTACTGCTTGCATCAAGTTTCAAATGGTAAAGTAGAAGTCATTCCTTCGATAATTTATCAGACGCAAACATGATTTGGTTAACCATTAAAAGTAATATCCTTTTCACAGATGACCACGGATATGTTCCACTTGTTGTAACCACAATTCCGTCCTCTTTTCCTTGGTTGTGACATTACCCAATGCTACTTATCATCGTTTTTTTCTCCCTGAAACGAGTAACATGACAGTAGCCACTAGTAGAGCAGTAACTGCTCACCCTTCCGAAGCACCTGAGTTCACCCCCGGGTTTTAGTGGGGTTCATGTTGCTCACTCTTTAGTTTTATATGTAGTGCTTTGTTGTTGCTGTTTGTCTTGTCGGCGTTTTTTGTTATCGGAGTGGTTTTTGTTTCTAATTATGATTTTTGATTGGCCCTTGGTATTTCATCTCATTTTAAATGCAAGTGTACTAAACGTATAATTGCAATCCCTTTCAGTCAAAGTTGCCATAAGCCGGTTTTGACTGTTCTGTTTAGGTCTTTTAGTTTTTGCTCTAAAAATAATTATAAATTATGATAATTTATTTAACAATATATAACATTAATCGATCTTTTTGCAAATAATGACCATCATGTGAGCTGTGCACACCTAAAGTCACGTAATAAATAAAACAGTTGATATATAATATTCATTTTACAGTCCTTAAACTGGTATGAAGACCTACAGACATCTGATATACAACTGAACCTGAAAGTATCATTTCCTCAGGGATTACCACCAGGATGTTTAGAAAGATATATTGGTGCTGTATATTTTGTTTATAAATATGTAAATAATTACTATTATGGATGGAGGTCTGGCATATTACTACGTATTAATGATGTAAGTTTTACCGAAAAGTAATTCTGATATGAGATGACATTAGATGACCATGAGCCTTTTCTTGATGAAATGGAATAATCTAATTACAATCATATACGCTGCTGAATGTGATACACCTAAAGACATTAAAACGACTAAAATACTGTCGAATTTTACCTAGTCCTTTTTGATACATGTGTAAATATACATTTTGAAGGACTTTATATTTTTCTATTTTATATTTTCTGAAAGCGATTTGTAAGACGATGGTGTTAAAATGAAACGCCAAAATGTATATATAATTCTTTTTTTTATTTTAAGATTATAATTTATAAAATTACAAAAGTAAGCGTTCGATATTCATCTATTTCATAATCCATTTTTATCAACAATTCGTGAAGCATTAACAATTTTTTGTCGATAAATGTACAATAGTTGTTATTTATTAGGAAATGTACTAAGATTGTGTGCGAGTTGAGGATTGAAGACATATACTCGTTTGTGGATAGGTATGAAAAACTGTCGTTTTGTGTCAGTTTGAAAGTTGACTGTTTAAAAAATAATGAAAAATGTTAATACTTGAATGAGCATGTATGATAATTGGAGTTAATTCCTTTCAGCAATGTAGAACGAGTTTCAGACTGAAGAAATAACCCCTCATTTTTTTAGTTGGTCATTTTACGTTTTTATGAAACCTTTTCTGAATTGTTGACTAATTTAGGTATCAGTTAAGTTTCTAGATCACACAAAATACACCAGGTAAATACTTTAGCAAATTGGATTAAATTACACTCAATGATGTGGGGTGATGTTCTTCTAGTGTTGTGTTCAACTGTTTTGGTTCTTAAACATCCTTGGCTTTCAAATATTCGGCTTTAAGCGTACCTGATGAAGGAAAAGCTCTTCGGACGCATAAAACTTAAACGTGTTGTTTTGATTTTTTCGAACGTAAAATACCGATTTCTGTGCGCATGAAATGTGTTTCTGTTAAAATCTTCTGTGTGTACGATGGAGAAAGTTCATGAAGCCAAAAAACAACAAAAAAAATTAAAAAAAAAATTACGTTTTAGAGCATTAAAATCATACTGCTCTAAACAGTCAAAACATGATGTAGCTACAAGTAACAATGCCTTAGGTATTTGTAACACTTAGAAAATGTATCATTCAATCAAGCAATACTTTACATTACCCACACACTGGACCCTGGACAGAATGGTAACCTCGGAACTGAAAGTTCGGCTGCAGCATTACCTCACGGTTGTATTCGATCGAAACGTATGATTACGATTTCGGGTCAACAGAACGGTCAGTACCAAAAGTTTGGGAATCCAAATGTATAAAACGTCTGAAAACATAAAAAACTAGAAGGCTTTAAAAGAACAGCCAAACTGTATTAGGTCTACTTTTCTAAGGATTTTGCAACATTTTGTAAGCACAATTAAAACACTTTTTACCGGGACGAACAGATTCTGATCATGATGCAATATCAATATGAACCTTTATGTATAAACTATACCGATTCTCTGAGCCAGATTTTGAAAATAGGAAATTTACAGACAAAAACAAATCATCAAAGATACCAGGCTTATAAATTTAAACGTCACACGCGCGTTTCGTCTATAAAATACTCATTAGTGAAGCTCTAATAAAAAAAGTTTAAAGGCCAAATAAAACACGAAATGATGTTAAAGTTACCAACTGTAGGCGTTCTAGAATGAGCAGAATCAATACCGTATAGCAAGCTATGAAATGCCCCGAAATGAAAACGAGAAAACTAACGGCCTGATTTATGTACAAAACAATAAACGAAATACAAATATGATATACAGCAACAAACGACATCCCTGAATTACAGGCTCCTAAATTGGGACAGGTACTTACAGAATGTGGCGGGATGAAACATGTTTCGGGGGGGGGGGGGCAATTCTCTAACCTTAGACAGAGTTGTCAGCCAAAATGGTCCTAGCTTGTAAACCAAATTAAATCTTATCCGTACGTCTACGTTGGGTGGCTTTCCTTTGATCTTTAATTCATATCCTTTTTATTTACTTTCAGGTTTATATCTATATATCAACACAGAATGAGTCTTTAGAGTATTTTGTCCGAACAGATATTGATTTATATCCTAGTTTTGAAGAAGCATGTAAAAAACTTTGGATGACTGTTGGTTTAGCACTGGATTGTTTTTTAAATCACGTTTCAATTTGGCCAGAACTTAATTATCAGGTAACAAATTAGATAAACGTTATAGCAAGTTTGATGGATTTATATACTTACCAACATTAAATGATTAATATTCCTTTCTTCATTCATAAGTTCGTTTTGGGCGGCTAGGCATTTGCGGTATTTAGCAAAATCATTACTTCAAGATGCAGCAAATATTAAATAATTTGAGATATTTATTATGCATATTAATTCTATAACACTAGACATGTTTCATTATTTACCAAGAGGGGTTTCCATAATCAATAAAGGTAAGTTTTGAAATATTCGTCTGATATGTACGTAAATCCTCAGATTATTACTTTCGTTTTCACAAAAAAAAGTCAAAGAAAATGTTACAATCTACCGTTATGTATATATATATAAATAAGAAGATGTGGTATGATTGTCAATGAGACAACTTTCCACAAGAGACCAAATGACACAGAAATTGACAACTATAGGTCACCGTACGGCCTTCAGCAATGAGTAAAACCCATACCGCATAGTCAGCTATAAAAGGCCCCGAAATGACAAATGTAAAATATTTCAAACGAGAAAACTAACGGCCTGATTTAAGTACAAAATAATGAACGAAAAATAAATATGATATACAGCAACAAACGACAACCTCTAAATTACAGGCTTCTGTCTTGGGACAGGCACATACAGAATGTGGTGGGGTAAAATTAGTTTGAAGGAGCCAACCCTCCCCTAACCTGGGACAGTGGTGTAACATTACAACATAAGAACAAACTGTAAAAATCAGTTGAAAAGGGCTTGACTAATCAGATGGACACAAAGCAGAAATACATCTAACAAAAACACAGAGTGAACGTGGCAGGGTACTTATACATCACCACAACAAAAAGACATTGAGTACAGATCTGAGAGTACTCGCAGTTACTGACAGCTAGTTCAAAGCCAATAACAACTAATAAAAAAATCATGCATCTAAGACTAAAATATCAATCAGTACACATCCAACATCCAATGGATTTAGTGTAAATACGTCATTAACAGTCAGAGAAAAAAACATGACCTTGTAAAATGCCAAGATACAGGTATCGACAGATTGTAGAGCCATGCATGTGCATATGTATATAAAAATACTATTTAGTTTGATTTTAATTTACTGATAACAAAATCAATATTAATACCAATAAAAACAATATTCAAAGATCTAATTATAGTGTTGAATTGGTAACCTTTTAGAATAAGTTTATTTAAAGAATCGATAAGTTTACATAGTTGCTTTTCATAAACTTGGTAAAAGGGATAGTTTTACATTTTTGTCCTCGGAAATTAGCAACAGAATTAGCCAAAAAGATCCTCATTCGCTTAAGACATCTTGTTCCAAAATATATTTTTGGAAAGGCTGTAAGTCATATTCAAATATCAGTGTTAAGGTCTTAAAAGAAAATAATTTTGTAGTTTTTGAAAATTGTTCCATAATTGCAGAAAGCTTTAGTACCAAAATCATGAATTTTACTGACATCAGACAGAATAATATCTTGTGAAAATGGAAATAATGCTTTTAGTAGATTAATAATACTTTTTCATTTTAAAAATCAAGTCGCCTTAATACCATCTCAGTACGAGTTCACAAATTAACTACTTAATAGACAGAACATAAACATTACCTCAGCTCATTGTTTAGCCTGGGTTAGAATATGACAAGGATTCGTATGTATAAAAATTTTTAAATTTGGAATATTTTTCGTCAGGTAGATTTGTTACAAAAACGTGTCTAGTAAATATTAGAAAGTTGATTAACAACTTTCGTCATTTTTTCATATTTTTATTTAATTTGAATTAATTTGAAGGTATACCTGTCTGCTGATGGAGAACAATTTCGATCAAGCAGTGTAATTGGTGCATGTTCCTTGCCCTCCATGTTGACAAAAAGATACAATAGGAAAGATAACACGGAAGAAGAATTAGAAACGAAGGTTAAATTATTGTTTCCATTTCAAGGTAATAATGTAATAATCTTCATCTTTTATTAACTTTAGATTAAACGCGAAAAATACTATGTGTGGGAAAATAATAAGATGTCAACTCATGTATTTGTTTGTAAAAAAAATGTCTGCTAGCAAATTAAGATGTCAAAACTGCTCATTTGTACAACTAGTAAATTATATCTAAAATATATATTTGAAGTCTACGCTTATATGTTTATAATATTGGCATTATGTTCGAGTGGCCAAGCTATACAAAGTCGCTTATCTACAGACGACTTTAATTGCATTCCGTGCCAAGGTATTCAACTTTTGTGAATATGACTTCGTACGGAAAGATGGTTCGGTCTGCCAGAGTCGATTCAGAATAGTTTTTGCTTGCCCGATACTTGGTACAAAAGATCATTATAATAAGTGTCGTACCTTTTTTAACTCCAATATGTTTCGAAACGTAGCAGAAAAAAATAAGAAGAAATACAGCAAGTTCTTCCTTAACTTTTTTGTAATGGGAAAGACATTAATGACCCTAATAAATTTACATGCATGGTTAAAATCATTTTCACAGGCTAACGTTTTTTGCCAAATCCAGTCAACTTAAACATTCAAATCACAGATAATCACATGCAGAATAAACCGACATGTCTTTGTAAAAAAAAACCGGAAAATCTCAAACTCAAATGACACATCATAAAATAAGGTAACAGTAGTTTTAAGACAAATTAAGTTATCAAACACAAACTGAGGGAATCGCATGAACTCCAAAAGAAGCGAGACTGGGCCCGGTGCGTCGACAGGATCCGCATCTCATGCTATGCATGCATCACCCGGTCTGATAATTCAAAATATCACAATCGGGAATAGGACAGAATCGGTAAAATTGCAGGTCAGACGACATTTTGCGAAAACATGTAGCTAGCAGGTTGAGATGAACCTATTTGTGATGATTTCAGTCGTTTTTCCTTATAACTTGGTTTCTGTAGTTTTTATAGCATACTCCTGCTAATGAAGTCCGAACAGTGTAAACATGCAAATCAGTTGAGATGTGTAATTGCCACATGGGACAGAGGTTAAGTAACTGCTGATAAATGGGAAGTTGACGATTGGAAAATTGAAATATTATGTTGTCATAGATTCTAGTTTGAGGTCGCCCATCTCTGTCAATATCGAGGAAAAGATCAAGATATGACGTTCACTGGGAAATATGAGATACACTCACTTACTAAAACGTGGATTATTGAGTGACAGGTCATCATCAAAATATCTGAATGTGAAATTAAAGAACTTTGCAAGATGTGTTCTCTTGTTTATTTTTGAGAAGGTTTTATTATTTATTATTTATTTATGCATTTCTCTGTGCTGAGCGTTCTTGCGTTTGTTTGTAATGTATTCCTGTCACGTAGTGTTGTCATTTTAGCGATATTTTTTAACATTGCCATATAAGCGGAAGGTTTGGCTAGCCATAAAACCAGGTTCAACCAGTCATTTTTTCCTAAAATGTCCTGTACCAAGTCAGGAATATGGCAGTTGTTATCAAATAGTCCGTTTCTATGTATGTTGGCCTTGGTTTTTGTTGCAGTTCAGTGTTTCTGTTGTTCCGTTGTTTTCCTTTTATAGTTGATGTGTTTCCCTCGGTTTTAGTTTGTAACCCGGATTTGTTTTCTCTTAATCGATTTAGGACTTTTGAACAGCGGTATACTACTGTTGCCTTTATTTGTATGAATTCTGCTTCATATGAGTGCATAAACAAGTCGGAATTTTTTGGAATCAGTGCAGTTCTTCACAAAGTAAGATTTTGTCACAATCTACAGGACGAAATTGTATCTACGAACCCCATTTTTGTAGAAAAAATGCTCTGTTTAAAGAGACGAAGTATTCAATTTTTCATTTGAACATTGGGAATAATAGTGTACAGCGTAGAAAATCAAAAATGATATTACTGCAAAATTGTAAAGATTGTTACTGAAGATTTTACGGTAGATCTTTAGAATTTTGAAGAATCCAGATCTGATTGACGCCGCATGTTGAATATAATACCCCATCACAATATTTTAGGAAGCTATCTTTAATTGTCAAAATAACAGCGGTAAGAACTTTTGAAAGATGTTTAGTCAAACATTTCGACGAGCCGATTATATATCGTTCTTTATAAAGATTTTTGTGAAGTTTAGATATCACGTATTAAAGACGGGAGATCTTCATAAACGAGACAATGTAAAAAGATTCAAATCTAGATACAAAAAACCTAAACATCGGACATTTAAAAGAAAAGCTTTTGCCAATACGATCTTCCAAAAAATAGGGACTGATAGTAGCAAATCTTTTTTCAAATCATTGATATATAAATTTCGCTTAAAGTTGGTATGTGCGATTTTTTTCTTCTTTTTTGATAAAAAATGTATACTCACATTATTCAAGATTCTACTATGGCCCTGGTATTCATATTTGATCTTTATTTACATATTAAGGGATATTGTATCATCTACTTTATTACTATTTGGTGAATATACCCGAGGAAAAACCTACGCTCCTTTACATGTCCGATTTTAAAAGTGCTCCGTTTTCGTGTGTTTTATTTAAAATGCCGTTTGTACGAAAATTACCGGTTGTATGGTTAGATGATTTCTTGAATTTGACCTACCGAATTTAGACTTATCACCGGATTTGTACTTACATGAGCAACACTACGGATGCCACATGTGGAGCAGGATCTGCTTACCCGTCAGGAGCACCTGAGATCACCACCAGTTTTGGTGGGGTTCGTGTTATTCAGGCTTTAGTTTTCTATGTTGAGTTTGGTGTACTGTTGTTTGTCTGTTGGTCTTTTTCTTTTTTAGCCATGGCGTTGTCCGTTTATTTTCAACTATGAGTTTGAATGTCCCTTTGTTATCTTGTGCCTCTCTTTTGTATAGTCAGTACAAACACGATGTTAGAAAAGCTATTAAAAGCAATTAGATCATTTTTTCCAAATTTCTAGAGGACTTTGAATTGTGCTCTTAAAGTACGATCTCACCACACGATTACATATTTTAGTGAATTTTTTTTTTTTAAAAAGGCAACCTGTATTACCGAACGAAGAACTATTGTTTCTGAAAAAAGGAAAATAACAGACACAGAAGATAAAAGTGATTATAAGGTTGATATGTGTATTTTAGATTTTGAAGTTACAGATGAAAAAGATGTAATTCAACAATGGACACTTTATTTAAAAAGAGAAACAGGGAGGTCATTGGAAATAGATATAAAAGAAACACAGCCGGCTGTAGAATTAGAAATGATAAAACCAAAAACAAGTATAAAGAAAAACAAGGTATTTTCATTTTTCAGATACATATGAGTATTGATAGCTCACTCTTTTGAAAGAGATAGGCTGATGAATAACCTGATAATTTACATATAGTTGTCAACATTAATATATTTGTAATTTTAATTTTAATATCTATAAATGAGCACGAATTACAAATAAGGGTTCATCTCTAAACAGATGATCTTATACTGCTTGTTATAATGCTTACAGTTAATTTCAAATATTTTTTTTTGGAAATTAGATTACTATTTATTTCATTTATAAACTGTATTTATGTTTTACTGGTTTTTTTTCAAAATATAATTTAAGCGTAAAGATATTACTTGGGATATAAAGACCGCTGATAAACATACTAGCTCGAGTACAGAAAGGATACCTTCACAATCGAATATTAAACCAGTCAAATGTAGTACAAACGATGCTTATCTACCATTGAGAATAGATAAACCTACAGTTAAACAAAAGTCTACGAAAACAGAGGATGTAGCAAAAACTTCAACTGAGCCCACATATGATAATAACATAGGACGTTGTAAAGTAGATGTTGAAATGGATATTCAGAAGGTGGTTGGATCATTTGTTGCGACTATCTTAGCTACAGCTGTGGCTGCTTATATAGGAGAAGAAAGTGGTAGACGAGGAAAATGGACAACGTACCAGGTAAAGCTATGTTTGCATTATAGAAAATTGGTGTAGGTGTGCAAAAAAAGGAGTGATATTTGCGATAACATAAGTATTTTTATTTTAATGATATAAAAAGAAACATTTAGCAAGAATCAAAATGAGACATAATAAGATTATCTTTTGTTCCGATGATATATAATGAATATACTTTAGGCTTAAAAAAGTTTAATTATATCGTCATGAAAGAGGTAAGCAGGCGCTTTTCTTGCTTATTTTAATCATAAATTCTTGTATGTGATTAAAAAAAAACGAGGTTGCTGACATCAGTCAATGTATTTCCAACATTTCTTTTTATTAATTTTTGCATTTAATGCATTTTGACACATTTTTTATTCTCAATTTCATTTTCTGTATAATGAATGTTTCTTTTATTATTATCCAAGGCATCAGTTGCATCAGAAATGGCAGAAGCTATCATGTTTGTTAATTCAAATGACGTCATGGCCGCAGCAAACACAATTATAAACACCGTAGAAAAAGCTGAAAAACCAGACTCTTCCAATACACGTCAATGTTGTCTAGATGGATCTTTATGTTACTGTGGGCATAACAAAGATCATAAGGAACAGAGTAGTAAATTCAGTTCAATTTGTACACTATTGTAAATTAGATTACATTATATAAATGATTTGTTTGAACAAACATTTCAGCGACAGAAGCCGATTTTCACATGCCTATCTTATGTAAATAATTGCAATATACGACACACAGAACATTGCTTTTGTTGCCGGAAAGTCATTTTTTGTCATAGTGTGAATCAAAAGTAAAGTCTCATAATGTACTATTTGCCACAAAGACCAAGAGTTAATAATATAAATATTGTCTACTCTACTTCAACTTCGTTTAAGTTTAGACTTTTAGTATATTAAAATGTATTTTTCTGGTATACTAGTATAACATAATTGTTTTTATCAAGTTATGAATAGTTTTATGCAATTTCAATACTGTCTTGATGTATATAAATATTGAATAAAGAAAAATGCACTGGTTGTTTGAACCTGATAAAATGTCCAACCAGTATATCATCATGCCAATTCTGTGAGATAAAAGTTGTTAACCGACAAAAAAGACCCAATGATTGAACATTCAGAACGACGTAAAGAATGAGACCAGGGCCCGTATGCACAAAGCTACTTAAGTTAAGATTTGTTCCAAACGGACGGATTTTTCTACATGTCCAACGATAAATTAGTATTACGATTGGATATCTTAACTTAAATAGCTTTATGCTGGTTACACGTAAGACCTCTTCTGTTCTTTTTTAAATCAAAGTCATTGTTACAGGACGGTATACGAAATTGACGAACGGAACTTTATGTGTGCTCATACTTAGTCTCATTGTGCAGATTTTCATGCGAAACCGTCTTTTAAAGGTCCGTCATGTAGAGAAACATTGCTTAACAATAAAAATATTATTTCTTTTGTGATGACGGCGAATAGATGTTTTCATCTTGCTGGTTTGTAACTATACTTCTAAAAGTTATTTTGAAACAACAGCTTAACATGAGAGTGAAAACAATCGAAATTGAAACTACATACACGTGCGTTGCCTGGATAAGCCTCGCATCACATTTCATAAGGTTTTAAAGTACATACAGAAGCAAATAAGATTACCGCTAGTACGAATGAAGTTGGATGTATTCTAATTTATGTCGCTTTCATGTTTCAAATTGAGAATGGAAATGGGGAATGTATATGTGTCAAAGAGACAACAACCCAACCAAAGAGCATAAAACAGCCCAAGGCCACCAATGGGTCTTCGAGAAAATCCCGCACCCGGAGGCGGGCTTCAGCTGGCCCCTAAACAAAAATGTGTACTAGTTCAGTGAAAATGGACGTCACACTAAACTCTGAAACATATAAATGAACTAAAATAAAAAAAAAAAAAACAAGACTAACAAAGACCAGAGGCTTCTGAATTGGGACAGGCGCAAAAATGCGGCGGGGTTAAACATGTTTTGTGAGATCTCTACCCTCCCCCTATACCTCTAGCCAATGTAGAATAAACAAACACACAGCAGTACGCACAGTAAAACTCAGTTTAAAAGAAGTGTGAGTCCGATGTCAGAAAAGGTAACAGAAGAAATTAAGCAAAATGACAATGATACATAAATTAACAAAGGACTACTAGCAGTTACTGACATGCCTGCTCCCGTTTGTTTGGACCTGCCACGTTCTGAGCCTATTTTCCAATCTTTCAAGGTGCATATGTCTTGAATGGTGAAAGTGAAAGCAGTCAAAATCAAACTTGATCTCCATTTCTTCATCAGTAGCAACATATAAAAATATGAAAGAAATTGGCTGAGCAGTTCACAGGTCATCTCAGTACCAGTCTCTTAAAAACGAGACCATTTCAATTTTGAAATTATAAATTTGTCTCATCTTAGCAGCAGTACACCAACTTCAACCGTGAATGGAGTATACATTTCTATACTCAAACGATATTCAAGAGTTTACAGCTGCTACTCCGACTTTGTAAAACGTCTTCGGTGTTTGAGCAAAGATTGATGAGCCAGGGTTTAGTCAAATAATGTCTCTTCCCTTTTCTCAAACAGTTTATCGGTAAGTACCTAATAGATAAATAGTCAGTATCAACTTTACAAATAATACAGGATGGTTTTGAGTTGTAGATTCTAGCTGCTGACGTTGTGCGTCGTTTTATTTATTTTACATTTTCCCTTAATTTGTCCTTATACAAGTATGTTCCTTTTGGTCGTATGACTGTTGACGTGGTCGGTAATTGTACATCCAGCTTTCGGGTTTTGGCTTTGGGCACTTCTTATGTGGGTTGGTCCAGGGGTGTAATTCGATCACAAGAGGTTATCATAGTTTTGTAGAACTTGACCTCCATTTTGCCATTAATAACAACATAATAAAATTTGAAAGGCATTGGTTGAAAGGTTAATAGTTATTCCACGAAAACTGTTGGCAGAAACCTACCCGTCCGCTGTTATTCACTATTTCAATAACCGGATTTTTTCTTCGGAAACACCGGTAAAAAGGCAACTATGCCAAACAACAAACAATGACCACCTTTGGAATACATGCTTCTAGCTTTGAGCAGACACATAAAGCACGTGGCGAAAATAAACATTTTATTGAACGCTCAAGGCTCCTCTCAACATAACACAGTAGTGTAACACAAACTAAAACAAATATAATTAAAAAAAAAGACTTATCTGATGATAAATCATTTGGTCTCTAGTTGGAAGTTGTCCACTATTGCGTGATGCCTAATCACTTGATATCAACATATCTTATAGGAGCAAAATAAAACGAAGGGTGTCACATTTGGAGCAGGATATGATTATCTTTCGGGAGCACATGAGATTACCCCCGTTTGTTGGTGGGGTTCGTGTTGCTCAGTCTTTAGTTTTCTATGTTGTGTTTTGTGTTTTGTATACTGTTATTTGTCTATTTATCGTTTTTCGTTTGATTTTTTGCCATGGCATTGTCATTTTGTTTTCGACTTATGAGTCTGAATATCCTTTTGGTATCTTTCGCCTCTCTTTTGTCTCTTTGGCAATCATAAACAATCTTCTTGTGTTTATGCTGACTCATCAGATCGTTACTTAGCGTAAAGAAAACTAACACAATTACATGACAAATTGTTGCAGATAGCAAGTTGAAAGTTGAATCGTTCATGTTTTTTCCAGACAAAAAAATATCAAACAGAACACCTCCAACGGATTTAGTTTAAAAACGCCACGAGCAGCCTGGAAAAGCACGACCTTGTGCAATGTCAAAATATACAAGTATCGACAGGATGTAAGACAATATAGTTGAAAGCTCAATTATAACTAATTAATCCACCATGTTTTTTTTTCAGACCAGAAACAATATCAATCCGTCCACTTCAAACGGATTTAGTTTGAAAAACGCCATGGGTAGCCTGGAAAAAGCACGACCATGAGCAATGTAATAATATAAGTATCGACAGGAGACAAGACCATATGATTGAAAGCTCAATTGTAACTAATAAATCGATCGTGTGTTTTTCCAGACCAAAACAAATATCAATCAGTTCACCTCCAACGGATTTAGTTTTAAAAAACGCCATAAGCAGCCTGTAAAAAGTACGACCTTGTGCAATGTCAAAATATAAGTGTCGACAGGATGTAAAATCATAAGTAGTGGTAACTACAAGAACAGCGAGCAAAGCTTACATAATAATACCACACATTCTTGTAAAGCCCCTTATTTTCTAAAAAACAAAACAAAAAATAATTTCGATCAATTAACAAAATAAGAGGTGCACAATAGCATTATATGAAAATAAGGAGATGTGTATATTGTGGTATGTTTGAATATGGTGTTTACAACTGTCACCGTACGGCCTTAAACAATGAGCAGACCCATACCGAATATGCTATCAAAGGACGCAACTTGACAAAATATAAAAAAAAAAATAGAAAACCAACGGACTGATTAGAATTTAGATTTGGAGACAGTTTCAATAAATTCTAATAAGGTTTTTAGGAGGAGTAGCGGATACAAAATGAGTAATCCCGATAAAGCATGTGAAATCCATTATTTGCATAGAGAAACCCTAAAAAAAATGGATTTACAAAATAGGAGGGGACGAATATTGATAAGGGATTAAGAAAGAATTGCGAATATAAAATGGGCACACAAAATAATTTTTTTTTTCAAAATGATTCCCAAACGTCCCTTGCATAGACTGAGTTGCTAAAGGAAAAAACCTAAATTTAATTCAAATAAAAATTATGAGTCCCACAATTGCATTGTATAGGAAATATTATGAAAATGTTTCATTGAATTCTTACTAGGGGTTTATTGGAGAGAAGTTGGTGCAACTGTGAACTAACATATGCAGATCTGACAAAGTCAATGTCATTTTAAGGTTAAAATTATTCGGAATAAGAAATGAAATACGAGGTCATTACGTGGGTCAGATTCTGTAAATGTTAACAAAATTCACTCAAGAGATTCTATGGAAGTTGCAGATACAAAAAGATATTATCCTCTTATTCAACTTTTTTCTGTAAAAACACACACATAATCAATTAAAATTAATAACATGGAGTTTTTCAAGTTTCACTATTTTAGATATAAGTGCTTATGACCAATTCAATTTCTGTCCCGGTCAATGAATTGAAGTTTTACTATCTTTATAAAAATAACAAGATGTGGTATAATTGCCAACGAGACAACTCTCCACAAGAGACCAAATGACACAGGAATTAACGACTATTGGTCACCGTATGGCGTTCAACAATGAGCCAAACCCATGTCGCCCAGTCAGCTATAAAAGTCCCCGAAATGACAAATGTAAAACAATTCAAACGAGAAAACTGACGGAATAATTTATGTACAAAATAATGTACGAAAAAACAAATATGATACACAGAAACAAACGACAACCACTGAATTACAGGCTCCTGATTTGGGACAGGCACATATAGAATATGGCGGGGTTAAACATGATAGCGGGCGCCCAACCCTCCCCCATCACATGGGACAGTGGTGTAACAGTACATCATAAGAACTAACTATAAAAATCAGTTGAAAAAGGCTTAACTCATCAGATTGATTACAAACAGTAATACATATAACAAAAAAGAGAGTGGACGTGACAGGGTACTTATACATCCCCACAACAAAAAGACACTAAGTACAGATCTGAGAGTACTCGCAGTTACAGTTAAATATCAATCAGTACATATCCAACAGCCAATTGAGTTAGTGTAAAGACGTCATTAACAGTCAGAGAAAAACATGACCTTGTGCAATGCCAAGATATGCACGTAAAAGAATTTCACAAGTTATGCAGTTTCTCAAAATATTAACTTATTAACTATTGTAGTCGATTACAATCGTTAAAATTACAATTAAAACAGTTTTACTATCAAAAACACAAGTTTGAATCCATTTATTTATGGTCTTTGGTATGATCGTCTAGTGAAATAAATGTGTTTCAAAACAGTATTGAGTACTCTTGGAGATTTGCCACATTTCGATTACATTATATCACTTGAGGTAAAAGATCTTTAACATTTGATGTCAAACTGTGAAAGTGTTTCAAGATGTTTTTTTGTAATTCAAGTTTTGTTACCTATAATTCATTATGTAACATGTAATAATGTTATAGATTTTAATCCTTTAAATCTTATAAATACTTCAATTATTGTCCTTTTATTTTCAATAAACTATGCTTTGAATAAAGTTTTAGTGAAAGTTTGTTTGTTCGGAACATAACAAGTTTTCAAATATAAATACATTGGAAGTATAAAAAACACGGTCCTCTTTGCTATTTTACTGGCAATTCATTTCACAATTCAAGGTATGAACAGATTTTTTAAGTATTTAAAAAATAAAAATATTTTCTGTAAACTTAATGTTCGAAGTTATATATTTCGATATACATTCGTATATCTGGCTAGCAAAAGACACTGTTCGTGATTTACCTATGTTTTCTTGCTATTGCCTCCCATTTCATTTCATTGTGAGTTTTCATGGAATTATTTAGATGGACATGAGGAATTTGATTCTTTTGAAAAATGGAAATCCAGTGAAAGCTTCGTGTTTTCATAAAACATGAAAACAATTTCACACACCAGGTCTGTTATATAAAAGGTGTGCGTTATTTCATTTAAACTTAAAGTAATGATATACATTTTGATCTTAATTGACTCCAGATTTTCATAAATCCTTTTCTATGGAACTACAACAGCAAATGTAACCTTTTTAATGAAGGGACATATATTTTTTTATGCAGTGTTAATCATTGAATGGAAACTGAAACAGATATATGGTTGCAAATCATTTAACTACAAATATACTTCCATATACATACGACAGGAATTGTATGTGATGGCATGTGGCTGGAAACCCTGAAATATCACTTACCAAATAGCACTTTATGAATTGCAGGTTATTCGTTATTTTCAAGTTTGTGAATCTAATAATTATTGTTCTAAATGTTAAAGAAGGATTAAAAAAAATTGTTTTACATGTACAACATGTATTTTGTTTCAACATATTTAACTAACCTGCATTGTTTCAGAAAGTTTGAGAAATGCATATTGCTACTTTTCCTCGTCTTGAGTGAAGGATATTGTCAATACAGCAAGAGTTATACTATAGCTGGACGTTCTTGGTGCTGAAACATGGAAGGTTTTATTGTTGGAGGAGTGGTAGGAGGAACGATATGTATATTCGTGATAATATCCATTGTATTGTGCTGTTTGGAATCGGAGGAACGCCAAAACCGAATCAGACAGATAAATATAGAACCAGCAAACGATATCTTTATTAGTAAGTATTGTATGATAAACAATTAACGAATCATTGCAACACTGGAATACGAATTATAAATGGTCAAATTATCTTATATTTAAAAGGAAGATGCATAATAGGGGCCATTATTTGGTCTCCGAAATTGCAAAAATCGCAACATTCTCCAGTCTTTTCGAAATTATGTTAATTTAACTGATATATGTTAAGGACTTAGGTAATACAATCTGTACTCTTTAAAACAGAAATGGCAGCTGTGATGTCACTGTGAAGTCATTGACGTGTTGAAATCGACTTTAAAAAAACATAAATGCCAATATCACACGTAATGATTGGTAAAATAAGATATGACACAATTCAAAAATTTAAAAAAAACTTTTTTTTCAAATAGAATGATGCCTTATGACATTTATGACATGTTCTTTACTTAAAATCCCTTCGATTCTTAAACTAATGAATTAATTAAAAACCAGTTTATCTCAGGCAAAGTAAAGCTTAGGTGAATTTATTTGTTCTTTTTAGGTCCCTGTTGGTCATATAGCTCCTAACGTTTTCTGGTCTTATACATCATTGTCTTCCAAATTTTGGGGTTTTGAGCATTCCCGATTAAGCCAAATCCCTTAAAGCGCTCACGAAATTCTATAAGTGTTATTTTCATTTATGAATATCTGGACGATATAATTTGATAGATTTATATTATTTTTTTTTTTGGGGGGGGGGGGGGGGAGTTTCGAATTCTAGGGGCGTTATTCTTCTCCTTTAATCTTTGAATTAATTTCAAAATGAAGTTTAATATTCTTTTGATAAGAGTGCTGTCTAATAAAAAAAAATAAACATGTAACAATCTATAAATTAGTGTAAATTTTATTTTCAAAGTTTTGGTCTTTATTTCTGATTTTTTTTAAACACGGAGTGAAACGTCACTTTTTCGGAACTTATATCATATCGACTCAAATCATTGAAGGATATAACGCAATCAAGCAAGGTTATCGGGTTGTTGACTTACTAGGTCATAATGAGATGATATATAAATTGATATACAGTTTGTATCTGCAAGGTACGAAAGCCTATTAGGGTCACAAAAAAAAAAATATATATTTCGTAATAACGAGATAAATATCTCGTAATTACGAGAAAACTATCGCGTAATTACGAGATGATTATCGCGTAATTACGAGAAAACTATCGCGTAATTACGAGATAATCATTTTTTATCTCGTAATTACGAGATTTATTATCGCGTAATTACGAGATAACTATCGCGTAATTACGAGAAAATTATCTCGTAATTACGACAAAACTATCTCGTAATTACGAGATAAAATTACATATATATATATATATATATATATAGAAATATACAGACTATGATTACCCTTCCGGGGCACCTGATAAAACGCCCGTTTTTATTAGCTCAACTGACCCAAAGGGTCAAGTGATCTTTTCCCATCACATGGCGTCCGTCGTCCGTCGTCGTCCGTTAACTTTTACAAAAATCTTCTCCTCTGAAACCACTTGGCCAAATTGAAGCAAACTTGGCCTTAATCATCCTTAGGGTTTCTAGTTTTAAAAAATGTATCCAAAGACCCCACCCACCAACCAAGATAGCCACCATGGCTAAAAATAGAACATGGGGGGGGGGGGGTAAAATGTAGTTTATGGTTTATATCTCTGAAACTAAAGCATTTAGAGCAAATATGACAGGGTAAAAATTTTCAGACGAATCAGACTTCCCGTTGTTGGGATGCTGCCCCTGAATTGGTAATTTTAATGATTATTTTTCAGTTTCTAGTTATTATCTTGAATATTATAATAGAAAGATCTAATCTGTAGCAGCAAAAATGTTTAGCCAAGTTAGATCTACAAATAAGTCAAATGACCGAAATTGTCAATTGACCCCTTAAGGAGTTATTGCCCTTTAAAGTCATTTCTGCAATTAAGTAAATTTGTTTAATCTTTTACAAAAATCTTTCTCCTCTTAATCTACTTGGCCAAATGAATATTATCTCGTAATTACGAGATAGTTTTCTCGTAATTACGCGATAATTATCTCGTAATTACGCGATAGTTATCTCGTAATTACGCGATAGTTATCTCGTAATTACGAGATAAAAAACTTATCTCGTAATTTCGCGATAGTTTTCTCGTAATTACGCGATAATTATCTCGTAATTACGAAATAAAACTATGATTATCTCGTAATTACGAGATAAAACAATGATTATCTCGTAATTACGCAATAATTGTCGCGTAATTACGCGATAGTTTTCTCGTAATTACGAGATAAAAATATTTTTTTTGTTACCCTAATAGGCTTTCGTAGTAAGGAGATAAGAAAAGATAAGAATAGCAAGTTGTTCAGATGTTAAAATTCCTTTTTTACTCAGCGCATTGAGTTAAAAGTAAAAATAAGCCTATGTAAAGAACTCCTTTTTTAGAACATACATTTAGTTTCCAAAATTAATGATTTATGGATCAATTTCTTCGATCAATTGATCGCACATCTGGTGGACTGGTAATTCCCGACCGTAAGACCAGCCTAGATGTATAAAAAAAAGTACGCTAGCAATGATTTATTAAATCAAATAAAATAATCTGAAAATAATAGCACTATTATAAACATCTTGAAATTCTGACAAATTTTGAGTTTCAAACAAGAATACGATTTTAAATTTTATGAAATTGTTTTTATTCTAGGCCATTGGAATTTTGTTTATTCACCATGCACCCCCTTAGTTATATAGTTTTTCGTGAATAAATACATCTTTGGCATTCTCAATACTTGACTCTAAGCTTTCCCTCTCAAAGTGCATAAAAAGATCAGTACTGTTTGATAATTACTTTCCTGTGTAAGCAAAAAATATGGTAACTTACGAAAGCGTTGAATATTTATTTATGATTACAGGAATACACCAAACCTCCTCCCATACATCCACGTATCCTCCACGAGGACCACCACCGGCGTACCCGGGAAGATAGCATAAAATAAAGGCAATAACAATGCTACAAAATATGAAAATGAGAACAAACCAGTAGCAAGCAAAGTTAAGTCAGGCGTAAACTGCAGAAAAGTACACTCAATAACAGGTCATGAACAAAACTTTTGGAGGACAACACTGAAGCATTAATCAGGGGAACTTGGCAAACATATTATATATTTTCCGGGTCTATGAATCCATCTGTTGAAAACCGACCGGATGACTTGCATTATTTGTGTTCTAGATGTTATGATTACCGCTAATACGTTCTCATCTAAAATTTAAAATTCTCATTCACGGTCATTTGCCATAATTCGTACTCAAATAGGTCGAATTATTGCTCATAATACAAACGTATGCAAAAACGAGAAAAATAAAGGAAAACACGTTTTTCTTTTTATCAAACACTTGAAAATCGAGAATCTGGCATATTGAACACCTGGTGAATGCTCAACTGAATTTTAATAAATTAACTTGCATTTCTCAGGCCTGTATGCCAGCATACGAACCTGGTGTATGCTAAAGTCTACATTTAATTTATACATTGCATTTCTCAGGTCTGTATGCCTGCATACGAACCTGGTGTATGCAGAACGGCCAATATTGAATCAAATGTTGTATTTCGCAGGTCTGTATGCTAGCATACGCACCTGGGTGTTTCCAGAATCTTCAATGTAATGCATATGAATCAGTAGAGCATACAAACATGGTGTTGCCAAAATCCTTTACTTCAGTAGTTGTGTTTCAACACCGATTTCGATGATTTATTTGTTTTTAAACTACAAGTCTACGACTGACCTCTATATTTTCTCCCGATTGGAAAACAGAAAAGCGTTAAATTGCAAGGCAAATCGGTACTACGGCGTTTACTGTTGTAAATCTAAAAATGAAAACCGATTCTCAAGTTCCACGACTATAATCACTTTATTGACATGCAATTAAGTTATCCGTTTTGTTTTTTGCAAATTAAAATTACGGAAAAATGAGGCGATCATAATTTGTACAAGGTTCCAAGTTGTTGACAAACTTTTAAATGACGTCAGGGACCTTGTGACGTAAGGCGGAGGGAATTACAGACGGAGCACAATGAGGGCCTTGACTTACGCAAGTTACATTTACCAGTACACTTAATTAAAATAATAGCAATTGATTACAAAACAAAATAGTTTTTTTTTATACTTTGTATTGGTAATTGATAAAAAGTCAAAGAACAAGTGGACTATTTATCTGCGTTGAATGACCACTAATAACCCCTTATGTCACGCGCTCCTATATGACGTCATTTCTAAATGTAAACAATGAGCATGATCAATGAAGGAGTTCCCGTCATGGAGAAGAAAATGGACAATTCATTTAAAAGTACGCTCTATTATCTAAATTTTAATATAACAGAAGCAAAACAGAATATTAGTACATTTACGGTAAGTAAACCTACATTGTATAAAAAAATCAAGAATCACGAAGCCCCCCCCCCAAAAAAAAAAATAGCCTTGCAAGATGTCATAAGTATTTGGACTACCCCCACCCCCTTGAAAGCATTTACTCGGTGATTTAGAGAAAAAAGTGAATGGGAATTACGATTAGGTGTACATCCACAGTGATGTATCCTTGCATTAGTTACAGAGGCGGATTTAGGGGGTGCTTTGTGGGGGAAATTTGGTTGATTATTGAGGGAAGCATGACTAGAGCGGTCCATCTCTAAGGCAGTCAGTGCCTACCCCATCCCCCCTTATGGAACTTCTGGATCTGCTACTGAGTTAAGTCTCCCGGCTTTTTTTTAAATTGAAATTCAGCCCCTATCCAGATTTTCAAAATGCATGATCAATGCCCTTCAGTTAACCCATTCGATTCAGTTCTTATTCTAAAAAAATCTTAGGGAAACAACTGTCCCAGGTAAGGGCAAGGGATGAGCGCTCATATGTTAAAAGCGGCCACACTAGTCTTTATGTGCCTGTCTGCTGTCAGGAGCCTGTAGTTGAAGTTGTCATTGGTTCATGTATGTCGTATTTTTTTTTCGTAAATTGTTTTGCTATAAATTAGGTCGTTTGTTTTCTCAATTGCATTGTTTCTTATTTTTCATGTTGGGGCATTTTATCATCTGACTATACGGTATTGGTTTTTCTCATTGTTGAAGTCTTTACGGCCTATACTTGCTTACATCCACTTCATTTGGACTTTGGTGGACAGTTGTCTCATATACAATCATCCCACATCTCCTTATTTTTACAAGGAGGTTGTATGATGTTCTCCTTGTTTGGGAAAACTGTACATTTGTCACATGATCATGCAGCATTCTGTGGTGTGTGTATGTAAGAAGATGTTACTGTAACAGGGTAATTTATGAAAAACTATCAACAAAATCGAAAGACAGACAGAAAACTTTTGAAATTTAGTAGGCAATAAAAAACAAAACAGAAGTAATTCAAACAAATTAAACATACATTTATTGCGAATGGATCTTAACAGCACATTTCAAGAGTGTTCAAATTGGAAAAATGAATGTTATTAAGGAAATGACAGATTTCATTGATCTTCAATCAGATGCATGGCAAAAAAAAAACTTTCAAGGGAACGACTTCAATTCAACCACGAAGAACCCTTAGTTCAATAAATTCTAAAATCAGTAATTGTGATAATATTAAAGTTATGAAGTGTATAATATTTACATATATATATTTATGTATATAATATGTAGTTTCCATTTCTCGTTTCAGAATTTTTCAAACAGTGGCTATACCTTTCATGTAACTATTTATGTGTTGCTTATGAATTGAATTGTAACACTTCTTAGTGACTGGATAGGTTAAACCAATGCCTTCCTAGAAAATTACGACACCAATGAACAGCACCTGACCTTTTACTGTTCCTGCTAATAAAGTAAAAATGGCTTCACTAGAAAAGGACGACACCTAGAAAAAGCATCAATTCTTTGGCTTTCCTGATTGAAGGATTCATTTTCATAACTCCAGTGTATATGCCAGTATACCCAATTTTTACCATAGTATAATACTATAAATTCACTGTAATTTTCATATCTAAGCCAGTCCAGGATGATATCGACTTATGATATGCAGTCAAGACAGATCATTGCAAATTGTTTAAATTACCGATAATTAAAATACATGCATGTTTGGCATACATCTTTTAACAGCAAATTGTATACAGACATCCCCCCTAAAAGCATTTAAAAAAATACCAAACAAGAACTTTGTCATACAGCATGTTGACAGGCAGAGATGCAAACACAATGACTTAAAACTTTGCTGTATCGCTATCTATTTAATATGCATATTGCCATCTATATCAGATTTTAAGACCGTTCCATTTTCTATCCATCAGTTGAAGTTATTAACTTAGAGCATGATGAAAAAGAATAGTTTTACAATTTAAAATATGAGTACAACATACGGCTGGTTAGAATGCAAACCGTTCAGTTTGCTAAATATCCAATAAGTTCCACCAAATATGCTGAAATTTTATACTGGAGGCAAACCCTACACAATTACACTAGCTCATTGAACACCAGCTTGGTTTGACAATACTAAAATGTATGTAAAACTATAATTCAATAGAACATAGGTGGGTATACAGGCAATCAAATCTTGTATATATCCAAGTAAAAAAAAATAAGCGTTCACCGTACACCGGTAATGTATGCAGGAATACCGTGAACTGAAAATGTCAAACAAATATGCAAACTTTCACGTTCAAATGTGTATAGGACTATATATATATATATATATATATTCAAGATAAAAGGCATGAATTTGACAGAATACAGATACATTAAATTACAATGACACGGATATAGCACTAGACATAGACACTAAAATGATTTACATGTTTACTAAAAATTATAATTCAAAAAATAAAATTATGAAAATTGTCATGATATTTTGATAATATGAATAGACTAGATTAAAAAAATGAGTGAAATTTAAGTTGACTAGATTTTCTCTGTAGCCTAATACCTTAGGATGACCCACAAAAGTTGTTGAAACTTATTTCCAGTGGGGTCCTTTTATAGGTCGGTATGCCGACAAGCAAACCTATGAATTCCATTTTTTCACAAGAGTTTATTGCAAAGCGGGTTGAAATACAGGTATAAACCCCTAAGTGTTGCAGTTAAGAATTGAGAGCTTTCTTTCAAATTCAAACGAAGTTGAAGGCTATACATAAGTCATCCCTTACGTCCATGTAATTCGGCCCTTGATGGAGATATGTCTCTTTCACAATCATACACATCTCCTTATTTTTGATGGGGGGTTGGTTATGCAGACATAAGCAAATAAGAAATGTTACTACACAGTAAATGCTTAGCATTCAGGCATACAGACTTGCCACTACAAACATGTATCCAGAATAAGATTTTAGAATCCATGCAGGCATACCTGTCTAGTGACTGAAAAATGCCAAAATAAATAATAATTTATGTCTACATACCCCACGTTCGTATGCAGGCATACAGACCTAAACTATGCCAAAATAAATATTGTGAAGGTACTAAATACACCAGATTTATATGCAGGCATACAGACCTGACAAATACTAGTATACGCAGAGAGTGAGAGTTTAGCATACGCCAGGTCGGTATGCAGGCATACAGATCTGACAAATACTAGTATACGCATACAGTGAGAGTTTAGCATACACCAGGTCAGTATGCTGGCATACAGACCTGACAAATACTAGTATACACATACAGTGAGAGTTTAGCATACATCAGGTCGGTATGCTGGCATACAGACCTGACAAATACTAGTATATGCATAGAGTGAGAGTTTAGCATACACCAGGTCGGTATGCTGGCATACCGACCTGACAAATTCTAGTATACACATAGAGTGAGAGTTTAGCATACACCAGGTCGGTATGCAGGCATACATACCTGACAAATACAAGTCAGAGAAAAAGACTGAATTTAGCATACTATTCATTGAAACATCTGAAATAAAGATGGGTAAATGCTATGTTATGTATATATTGCAAAAATGGCATAAAAGTACAACAAAAATGCAGAATGAGTAATTTTTTAAGGTTTAATGGCTTCAACTATTTCCTGGGTGTTGAAATAGTTCATTCTAGCATCCTATGAATAAGGCTAATGCTAAAATGATGAAGTTTTGGATTCGCATTAACAAAAAAAGACCAAAAATTTTGCCAAAAAATGACAGACAAATATAAATAATGCTATACAGTGACTTTTTAACGCAAAATATATCAATCATGCCAAAAGATGTAGCTTTTTCACACAAAAATGAGTTAAGTGGCATATGAGAATTTCTAATTTTAAATGAGAACGTGTTCGCTGCAATGATGCAAGTGTAAAGTTTTGTGTTCCTTCACTATCAACATGAATAGACATATATGCGTCACGAAGTCTGTATCTTTTAGGTGCTATCTGGGCACATATAATTTTTGAATTGACAATAGTTTTTTACTACTGATATATCTTTATTATTGCCATCAATCAGACGAATTGCAGTCTAAGGCCCCTTTATTATGAATTCTGTTTTAAAATTTGAAAATATTTTACCTTGTTAAAATGATCAATCAGAATCAAGGATTGTCTCTGGTCCCATGTTTTCGTCTGATCCGGCGGATTCAATTGGAATATTTGTATATAAATAAAAACATTTTGGCTCAATCGTTTCAGAAAACTACTTAACTCAGAGTAAAAAACAATAAATAAAGAAATCTTCAAGAAAGATTATGAGAAAGTGAACAGTAACTAGATGACGGCTGACAAGGGACGCAAAATCACGGCGAATGATTACAGCAGATTCACTGGCGCTTTTTAAAGAAAAGAACCAAGAAAATTATGTGACAATTCTCAAAGCAAATTTAATTCCAATACATAATAAAATAAATAAAACAACAATAACTGTTTATTGAAAACAGTACTGGTTCCACCTTTTTAGTGAACTTTTCTTTTACGGCTTTACAACAGTACAAACAACCTGACTGGTTGTCCGTCAGTAAATCCGACCATGTTTTTTTTTTATTTCTAATGGCTTTAATGTTGGTCACTTCTGTAACGGCATTGTAGATTCCAGCGAAATTTTGTTGAGTCCACTGTTTTGATATGATACTAGTATAAATATGTAACTTGTCACATCTGATGAATGAAAATAATGTTTTGAATTAAAAATGGTGTTGGTTGTGATGTCAAATAAATAAATAAATAAATAGATATTGCAGCTGTCCAGGTATAATTCTTTGTATTTGGCACAAGGGAATATATCTTATGGTGTTACAATTTGAATATCATTGCTATCTCGCTATTGGCATGTATACATAATCCAAAGACCTTTGTGTGCATGAGCAAGATGCTGGAATAGGTATAGTTACATTTTTGCGAACAATGCTTCCATGTTCATTGGTACACCACAGGCGCACTGTTTTCTGTCTTACAATTGTAATACTGCACTGAGAGTGCTCACTTCCTCTTTGATGACAACTTCCGGTACAAATAAAGTTCAAAACTCTTCTTTCGAGACAATTTTCCCTTTCAATGACTTCTCTGATAAATTTTCGTTTGCAAGAAAAACTCCCACCACACATGATTAACAGCACCAACACAAATTTCCAGGGAAAAATTGATGAATCATTCATAACGTTTTGTTCTGGAAAAAATGTAATATTTGAATCGATCTTTAGACCACTCAAGTTGAACTATATGATGGTATTCAAACAGATTACAAGAGTTAACGTAATGTAAAGTATGTCAGTGGGAAAATTTATAAAAAAAAGTGGTGTTGTAAGAATTTTCAGTTTGAATATCCCTTTGATATTTCCCGTCTTTCTTTTATAAATCACGGACTGTATGATAATTATAAATGGGCAAAATGTAAATAAATTGAAATTGAAGAACGAGCATATTTTGTTGTTTGTTTAATGTTTTGTCATAAGTCAATCTGCTTTGGTTTTGCTCATTGTTGAAAACCGTGCGGCGACGTTTGTTATTGTATGCGTGTTATATGTTGCTGCTGGTGATGGTACCATTTGCCTAGTAGCCAGTGATTCGGTATCTGCGAATTCAAGAATACATTTTGTCTGTAAATTTTCAGTTCATTAAATATGAACATGTTTATTTGTGGTTAATCTAATTCAATTCCCCTCGGGCAGGTTGACCTGAGGTTTTAGCTGTATTGTTTAGAACCTTTTGGTATTTTGCTCTCAAGCGTTTTATTTTTGTGGGCTTTTCAGTGACCTGAAAAAGGTTACTTCAGAAACAGATATTGTCTGCACGGAAAGCATACCTTATGTTTAATTTTTGAAGTCCTGAAAAATATGTGACTTCTGTTATCAAGACTCTTTTATGTAAGATTCTGGCCTTGTTAGTGAAACAAAAAAGGAAAAACTGACCATAATTCTTCAAAATGAATAGATAATTATACAAAAATGCATGAATGAAAATAAGCAACTTACCGGCTATATCGGAGCAACCAAAATGTCAATATCCTCTCCATGTTTTACCTCTTATAGTCCTGTTTCTTTTACCTTACTGTACTTAGGACTTACTCCGCCCATCGGTTCATTGTAAATAAGCCTTATTTTTAATAAGTCAGGTTTCTCAATTGAAGAAATAATCCAAACACTAGCAGTGCCAAGTTTGTATATGTAAGAATAGTAAGAAATAATGAATGAATATAAAACGAAGATTTAAAAAGACGTATATGGGTCATATTAATGTACAAAAACAAAATTTACTTTTATGTACTGAGAAGGTATTTATGGAAAGACGTCAATCAAAAACTGAATTATGAAAACATGTACCTATCAATTTGTCAGTGTTTGTCATTTTTCTTGTCTATTTCCTTAAATTATCAGAAGATTTTACAAGAAAGGTAAATTATACAACCGAATAAAGATTGTTAAAATTCAATCAAACGTATGATAAACAAAGGATTCCAATTCTTCATATTATCTTAGATATTGAATGAGATATAGAAATACAGAACAGTAAAAAACCTCTGCAACAGCTCATGTGCATGGGGTGGGGAGGAATCGGTCACATAACTTTGCCCTATCTAACTCAAGAAAACAAGTGGAGACAGGAAGATGCAACCTCTGAATAAAATAAGTATGTATAGTCCAAGGGTATTGATTTTCCTTCAACGGCCGGTTGTTTCACTCGGTGGAATGTATGAATACGCAGTTACGTCCAGTCGGAATGGTGAAGTTATATCCGATTCCTTAAGTAGGGTGTGCCGAGCATAATAAACATTAAAAAAAAACATGAAACAATCATATGAGAAGTTCGTAGGTGGCTTCTTGCAAAATTTCTATCCTTTTAAATATGTTTCATTTTTCAGTGGCAATTTTCCCGCCCGTTATTCTGATAAATGCACTTTGAGAAAATGTTTAAACGCAGCAGATGAAGTTTAAACAGATTCAAGCCATCATAACTTATATGAATCATTAAATTTTGAAAGCCAATATTAGCTCTTAATTCAAGTATGGAGTATCAATTGATCATTCGTCATGCAAAGTCATCAAGTCAAGGAAAAAAGAAAAGCAAGTTGTTTGTCTAAAATAGAGAGAGAGAAGATACTAAGGGAGCAATCAAAACTCATGTCCAATAAAAACAGACAACACAATGGCCAAATAAAAAACGATAACAGATCAAACAACAATAAGAAAGCATTACTTTCGGAATTTTAAGTCCGTAATGCTCTTCGTACTTTATTTCGCTTCTTAACTTTTTTTATTCGAGCGTCACTGGTGAGTCTATTTGTAGACGAAACATGCGGCTGGCGAACAAAATTATTAGCCTGGTATCTTTTATGCAGTTTTTTCTCTACATAGAAAACAATAGATTGGTCAACCTACCAAAAACCCGGGGTCTCAGGTGCCACTGGAAGGTTTAAGGCATTTCCTGCTTCTGTATTGGTACTCATGATACTCATTGCAAGTAAAATACGGTCATAAGTCGCATTCAGTATTGTCACAATCGAACAAATTGGATGTATTGTTTAACATATCTAAAGTGAACCATTCATTACACAGCGTACATGTACCAAGTATAATACCAAAAAATGTCTTGCATGCGGATACGTAAATCTTAATTTCAGTTCGATAAGGATATGGTCGAGAAATGAATTTTCGAACTTAGTCCTGTGAATTTTCTGCTGAAACATCTTTTGTTTTGTGTTCCACATGTTTGGTTTTTTTTTAACTTCAATTTCTTATAGTTCACATATGTATGCCTACCTGTTCATCTACACTACATCTCCAGCAGTCTGTCAACGTTCTTTGAACTAGAGTCACTCTTTTAAAGGCTTATCCTATTTTAAGCGAACTTTTTCGTAAGGATCTGTTACGTCCTGTTATAAATGCAAAGCACATCTGAACATTTACAACGTAACGAAGTCAATGTTGCATCAGCAGCTTTTGATGTTCAATTGTTAGAACGCTGTAAAAAGTCCTCTAGGTTAACTAGGTTTAGTATAATTATGGAAGGAAACAAGTCCAGAAATGCAAAAAATGAATCATTTGCGCAATGCATATATGTGATTGGAAGCCCACCAGAGATACATGCACAACAGGTAGCTATGGCTTAATTCCTGTTCTTACGCCTTTTATCTTCCGACCATATTACCTGCACAATCGTAGCTATAATTATATAAATGAGGAGATGTGGTATGAAGGCCAATGAGACAACTATCCACCAGAGTTAAAATGAAGTGGTAGTAAGCAATTATAGGCCACCCCACGGCCTTTATGACTGTGCATCTTCAATTGACGTAAACCAACATCATCTTTAAAGGCTAGAAAAGCTTTACTTATGTGTCTCCACATGCTTTATCACTGACGTAAAGAATACTCAGATAGCCTGTTTTTCCCCTTATCACTTTCTTTTATAGCTATTGTGACCGCTATAGCTGATCTTTGTTTGTTTTGTCCCGCACTTCAACCACAGATACTAGTAATGAAAACTACCCACCTACTTGTTTATATGAATACTCTCATATGGTCGAAGTAACTTCATTTCGAGTGATTTATGGGTATGTTGCCTAATCGCGGGCATTCTGAAAATAGTCTATCAATTTTTCATCTCTATGCACCGCCTGATTTCAATATTAAGAACGACCCAAAACCCTGTGTTTTATTGTACAATCTTTAGTGTGTAAAGTGTCATCAAAGAGTTATATCACATAAAAGTTGATAACACACAGTCTTTACAATTATTTTTTACATCGCCTGGCTTTGTCTTTCGCTTTTTCTTTATTGGAGACCTGGGTTAAAACTACGGATTCGTAATTATGTTTGCTGTCCATTCTTATCTTGAAATTTCGCTGATGATGTAACCGTCCTTTTTACATTCATAACCTGTACCAGGCTTATTATGACCACTTACACTTGTATTGCCAACATTATTTCCTTACTCCAAAAAGTCCTCATCAAACTTTTCAGTTGCATTTTTTCAGTTTCTAAACGGCTATGACACAATCTATCCATGATTACTTAGTGGTTTACAAACAAATGTAATTGCAAAATCATGTTAGTATTTGAAAGTTATTGAGTGTGCGTCAGCGTTTTTATGAATTTACCTTCATATTGAACACTCAAACCCAACATGTTTAATGCAAGGAAGTATAAATACCTAAAACGTGAGGAAGGTTTATGACCAAAACGGACATAAAAAGGATAACGGAATTAATTTTAGGTCAACTTTTATAAAAATAAGGAGATGAGGTATGATTGCCAATGAGACAACTATCCACCAAAGTTCAAATGAAGTGGATGTAAGCAATGATAGGCAACCGTACGAACTTCAACAATCAGAAAAAACCAATATCGTATAGTCTTCTATAAAAGGCTCCGACATACAAAAATATGAAACAATTCAATTGAGAAAACTAACGGCCAAATTAATAACAAAATAATTTACGAAAAACAAATATGACCGACATGAACCAACGACAACCACTGAACTACAGGCTCCTGACTTGGGAAAGGCACATAAAGAATGTGGCGGGGTTAAACATGCTTGTGAGCGCTCAACCCTCCCCCTAACCTTGGACAGTGGTGAAACTGCACAACATAAGAACAAACTATAAAAATCAGTTGAAAAAGGCTTAACTCACCAGATCGATACAAAGCAGAACAATCAAACCAAAACACAGACCGGACATGGCAGGGTATTTATCCATCCCATTGCCTTAGTTTTTAAATATATATTTTTTTAATTATCAACGGAGAATTTCAGGTAAGTACGTTTCTAAATTAAGTATGTTACTAAATTACACGTCACATGTATAACTAGACATTTATTAGCAAACCAAGACCTATATATACAGTTATAAACGTTGTGGTAAATGATGTAATTAGAATCGTTTAATACAAATGGTTAATGTCAAAGTTATAAGATTTAATCAATTCCAAACATAACATATAGTTTGCAAGTACCAAAAATTAGCTCGGTGCTGAAAGTTAAGTTGTAATTTGACGCATTTTCAGTAGTTTGTAAGGCGATTCATTCATGTTAATCGCCTTATTTAATAATTCGCATAATCTTAAGTCTTTTAATATATAAACAGGAACTTTAGTCCAATTCATTAAAAATTCACAATTGATACACAGCAACGTTCACAATCGTTACCCTATCTTTAATGTGAATCAACAACCATAACAATGCAAAACATATTTATCCCGTCTTAAACTGTTGGTTACCTTGATTTGTCTCTTCCTAATTTATCAATATTTGAATATCGGTAAACTACTGTCGCCTTAATTTCTTATGATTTTGATTATTTCCCTTTGCAAATTGTTGTTGGTACCAAATACAAATATACAATATACATGTGTCTATTGTTGACGTTGGACTTTGCAGGGGTACTTCAACACATTCTTATAATTGGAATGTGAATAAACTGTACAGAAATTCAATTCATCACAACAAAGAGATATTTAAGTATTGCTCCAAACTAGAATAACTAAGGGTATTGATGTTTATCAAACAAATATAAAAGTCGCAGGGAATGCACAACAACGCAATTTTGACTTCAGAAGCCTCATATTACTTCTACTTTTCTCACATCCGTAACTAGAAAACCTCCAATATGCGCAAAAGCGTAGAAATGTTTAAAAACAGTTTCAGTTTCTCAATTATTTAAAGGCGTCATATATTGTTCCGGGTCTGTTTACATGAAATTTTGAATATCATGAGTACAATGAGTAGATTAATTCTCCAAATACAGTGTCTGACACAAGCTGACCATATTTCCTTGGTTCTTTACAGACCATTACCCAATATAAACAAACATCGATATAACACGAGTCGTAGTAGAAAGACCTTGATATCTACTAGCAGATATCAACTACAGTTGGCTAGATCTGTTCTTTTCTCCAAATTTAATTTTATGAATAATCAGACCAGTCTGTGAGTGGCTTCATCGAAACTTCATAACTCCTCAGCTGACTGTTTCTTACCCATATAATAAAGGATGTACTTAAATGTCACATTTTGCGATTTCTTCATACCGACCATAAGTACTGCGTGACTATTGTAGGAGTAAAACTGTCTTTTCTTAGGTATGATTAGAAATTGATTCCTCGTCTACAATTTCCAAGGTACAGACCAGATTGAAGAACAAAAACAAAAGGACATTCTTTGAATTTACATTCGACGTCGCACATAATTGTCTCATTGGCAATCATGTCACATCTTTTTATTTATTATTGAAATATATTAAATGAATTTATTACTTTTACATATTTTAAATTGCTAAAATAAACTGGCCATTACGAGCTGCTTCAATAATCTGGCCTTTCGCAAGGTA